AAACCCAATGAACATGTTAAAATGTTCTCAAAAACATTCGACTTTGATGTACTATATTTAGAGTTTTGTGTTTCAGAGCAGTACATAAGTGCTCACAGTTTGAGATAAACTTGTTTTTAGTACATGCCTAAGTAACCTGTAGAAGGATGAGTGCAAAAATTAACAGTACATGTCATCCTGAGCCACTACAGGCACAATGGCAGCAGCATGCTTTGGGTACACTTTTTTTCAGCCGGGACAGCAAAGCATTGAAAGTCCAGTGGCTGTCTCATTCACAGCAGGCCAAAAAAACCATAACATCATCAGTGGTATAAATTAATAATTCTGTTTTAGACTCAAATCTAAAAATATTGACACTTTATCTGCAAGACACTTTAGTGTTTGCAGTCATCAATCTTTCTGGAATTTTAATGTTCAACATCATATAGTTTCCTACATAAATAGAATAGAAGCTCAGAACAGAATTTTCCATGGGTCAATCAATGTTTTCTATCTCTGGCAATTTCACAGTAAACATTTAGGTTTCCCTTCACAAATACTTTGTCCTCTTTGTCCTATGATCTGAGCCTTAGGGCTCAGATCATAGACGTTTTGGCGTTTCATTAGACAGTGACTCACCAGAGCATGCCACAGTTGGCATCAGCTGCACAAATAAACCAAATTGAACTGGTCAGATCTTCAGCCAAATGAACCTGGGAGTCAATTGACTAGAAAAAAACAGGGCTTATCACTTATGCCACCTGAGCACTGCTCGGTATGTGATTTCTGAGCCAAGATGTCAAATGCCGCCAAGCTTTGATTAACTCACCTTCAGGCCTGCACAACAGCGCATGAGAATATGTATTCAACGGCTGTCATTTCACAGAGTGCTGTAAGTAGCTCTCACAAAACCCTGCAGTGAAGTAAAGCATCTCAGCCTGACTCACAGGATCATTTTGTCCTTTTTATGTGTGCTGTACCATGTTATGTACAATCATTTGCTGCTGGTTTACTGTATAATTTACAGTCTGTTATTAACTTGCATTACTTTAGATTATTTTATCACAGTGGACAGTAGTTGGGTTTTGTTGTCCAGTTGGAGTAAACACAGATGTTTGAGAAAGTAAAACGTTGTGATTCCTACAATGTGACCATGTTGCAGTTGTGCTGTGTGCCAACTTTCTAAAAAAGACAATTCTAAGTACCGTGATATCTATGAAAATACAACACTTTGTTGTTTTCTTTAGAGAAATGAAGCCATCTTCATAATGTTGAGCTATCAAAATCCTTGCAAAACCCCATACAAAATAAAAAACTCAGGAAGAAATTAAATGGTTGAGTAAGACATTTTATGTATTTCTAAAGAAATACATAAAATGTAAACATTTCTAAAGAAATACATAAAATGTTCATGACCTTTATTATTCCGATGTTAAACAGTAAAAGAATGTTACTTTTCTCAAATTACAAGCACAGTGGTCTAACCTCTGCCAGGTTTTTTTTAATCCTCAAGGTTTGGCCTGACCATTTGCTGCACAATCCACCCTCTACTCTGTGCTGTCTACCTCTTTTCTTTGAGCGACTGAGCAGAAAACAGCACCTTCTCTGCAAATATGAGGGACTATAAAATGGGAAAAAATTGGAGTCACAGATTGAATTTGACCTCCTGCCTGTGACATTTTAAAGACATACATGAGGAATCTGCAAGGATAAAACTTGTTCACATGAATTAGATATTTCTAAATATGGTGACATTGAAAAAGACTCACCTGCAATTAAGATTACTAGCTGTTAAATACTTAAATTAAATATGAGGACTTATGACAGGGTAAAAGTCATAATTTTCTCAGATTTTAGCTCAGCTTCTGTAACAAAGTATTTGTGATTTCTCATTGTGTGATTAAAAAAAATCATTTTATTGGGTTCAATTTGTAACTTTTTGGGGTTGGTAGCCACAGACTTCGTTCTTCTTTCTTTATTATGATTTATTTGTCAACTGAAGTTGGAGCCACTGATTTTCTCACGTTAAGCCCATGGGCTAATCCAGTCACAGCTTACAAAGACCAGCAGGACCTCGGTTGCTGCCAGATTGCCCATCTCTTGCTACAGTAACTTGGTGCTCCTTACTTCTTATATCTATATGAACTTTTCTCCCTTGTGTTCTACCACCACTTTCCTGAGATTGACCTCCAGCCAGCATAGAAGCTGATCCACTATCATGTGATTGTGTCCTGGTTGCAGTCCTAAACTGGAAATCCCTGCAATACCCAGGAGTCCTGCATTATTCTCAACTGTGTCTCCTTCTTTACCATCTGCTATTTAATATCAATATTATCTCTGAACCCCTTACGCTTGTGCTTGATTTTTGATATTCTTTTCATTAGAAACTGCCACCTGAGAGAAAAGTGGTACTTGCCGAATTCAACGCAAGTGCCACAAAAGTCGAAATCCTGCAGGTTTTCGACTTTTGTAGTAAAGTTTTCTCTCAAATTATTTAACTTTTTGTTCAGTATTTGTTTCCCTTCATGTGGATTGACTTAGATTTTCAGGTTTCAAAAATATGTTTTGAAATGTGAACTTACAGAGAAAACCAGAATCCCAGATAGGCGCCATAGTAATTACCATCATTATGGAAATTAGGAACTTATTAGTATTTTGTGCCAGCTGTCTTCAGGTGAGGAAATAAATTATTTTTTGATGCTGCCATTCCTGTAAAGACTTTATTATTATTTGTTCAATTTTCAACATGGAACAATAGAAAAAAGAATACAACAGACGGTTTGTTTCATTGTCGAGGGAAGCTGTGTGATATTTAGTAGGAGCAGTGAGGGAATTAATTAACATTTGGGTGTTCTATTCTTAGCAGTGAAAGTACAAGTCACATGGTCAAGTCAACATTCAGATTCTTGACAGATCTCTGCTTGTGTGATCTAAAAGCATGAAGCAGAATAATGGGACATAGTAAGACCTGGCACTCAATGAGAGAGCCTCCTTCTCATATAAAGGTCATGTCTCAGATTTAAAAAGTAAACAGCCAAGATATTATACTCTGCTATGATATACATTCCCAGTCTAGACACATTTTATTGGAAAATGTTTCAAGCTCTAGATACCAGGAATTTATACTATATGTGAATTGTCCTTTGTTTACAGTTTTATATTCAGTTTACAACACTAAACAATTCAATGCACTGAGCAGAGAATATCTGCTTATATTCAAATAGAAGGAACTTTTTTTACTTTTTGATATTCACATGTTTGATTAATGCATTTGGCGATTATGCATTTATTTACACATAACATTACTTGGCCAGCATCAAAATGAGTGCCACAATTGTTTGTTTTAAAGATGAGTCTTTCTGCCTAAGGACAATTTTTAGGGAAAAACATTGTCTGAAACTGTAAAAAAATTTAGCAATCGGAACTAAACTCACACATATATAGATTGCTACATGGGTAAAACAGTATGCTTTTGAAATCCAATCTTTTTAAATCACTGTTTTCTAAAGCTGAACACTAAATTTGGAGAAAATAATGGCAATCTGAATAATTATTTTTGAGAGGTAGAGCCAGTTAATCTTTTGTTCCTTTGGTTCCTTTTGTTTGGAATGTGGAGATTTTTTTTTTAATGCTGGATTGTGTTTTGTTTCTGGTTTGTTCTTTTTTTTCTAGTTTTTGTGTGTCAATTTCTTAGTTCCTGTTTTGTATTGTTTTCCAGCATGTCATAGTCCTGCTACCCTCACATTTATCAAGTATCCAATAAATTGACTCTCACTTATATTTATCCCAATGATCACTTCCCTCAGTATTTAGTTCATTCAGTACTTGTTAAATTATCTTGACATTCTCCATGTCTCTGGGGCTGATTCTTTGCATTTGCCTCATTTGGATCATTTTTCTGCCTTGAACTCAGTTTCATAAGTTTTCATTATCAACAGCAGTACGGGCATTTATAACACTTAATTCTTTTGATCAGCACTTTGGCAGGTTTGCTAAATCTGAAAACATTTAGGACTTTTTGCTTGACTTTTTGTAAATTCTAAAGCACAAATTTAATAAAGTTCAACATCTGTGTTGATGATCTATTTATAGAATTAAGAAAACTTCCAGTGAATGTTTATATTCATGCTCTCATTTTGAAGACAGTGACAATTGTTTACACTGTAAATACTTTTCTGTTCTGCTCTTCCCTCTCCTCAAGTTCACGTTTTTATGACCCCCCCAAATTTTATTTCAAACAAGAAACGTGCAGAAACAAACTAAAACATGGTTGGAAGAGAACAAGATATGACCATAAATAAAATATCTGGACTTTATACTCAGAATGAATCGATGTAGAACAACAACCTGTAGTTCAACAGTAATCACTTATGTCCTGCCTACTTTCTGATTGAAGACCTGCCATATCCAATTAGATAAAATCAGCAACAGAGTTAGCAATACCCAACAGTCGTGAAACGGCTCAAAGTCAATCTTCAAGCATCAGTATCTTGAAGACTGACTTTACTCCCTTGGCAAAGAGCAAGTCAAAGTTCTGCAGGTGCCTGCAAACGAGCAATCATTTGTTTATTTGATCCAGGTGTGTATTGCACCATTGAGAAAACTAAAACATGTTCTTGAAGACTGACTGGACACCCTTATGTAGACGGCATAAATATACACATTTTATGAACAAATATTGAAAAGTAACTTAACAACTAACGCGTATCAATAACTTTCTTTTGAAGTTAGGAAATTCCACCGTCACCCTTCACCGACACTTTGCCATTTCAATGTTTCCGACTTTTTCACCGTAAGCTAAATAAACTTGACACTTGCGCTGCATGTGTGAAATGTCAACCGCCCCTGATGTGGTCAGATCAGTGAGCAGACTCTCTTGTTTGTCTCTCCTTTCACCTTTCACCATGGACGGATGTATGGAGCGGATGAGCGCGGCTCTGATTGGCCGTACAGGGACGCGCTCCCAGAAGGCGCATCAGCCGCTCTCCTCTCCTCTTGTCATTTCTGCTCATACGACTCACATGCCCGTGAACGCCACTGGGCTCAGTGCGCGCATCTCTGCTCCAACTTCAAACAGGTCCCGTCAGCTTACTGGAAAGCAGACGGCTTTCACGATGGATGCTTCCGTTTATGATATCATACTGGGAGAGCTTGAGGAGCTGAACTGTAGTTTGATAGAGCATTTTCAAGACACTTTTTATGAAAACGCTTCATTGGCTCTGCTGAGCGCTGATGGTAAGATGGATTTGTTTTTTGTTTTTTTTTTCTTTTCTTCAGATTTTCCTTGTGTTATTGCACCTTGAAAATACCTAACAGTCTGATTTATTTGTTTTGCATATCTTGCCCTGTCCTAAGGTTTATATTGCAATGTCACTACTGATGAAATTGGAACCTGCTGGCCGCGGAGTAGCACTGGCAGGATTGTGGAGAGACCGTGTCCTGCTTACATCAACGGAGTAAAGTACAACACAACGAGTAAGATATTTAAATAACAGCAAAAGTTTGATTACATATATGGAAGGCAAAAAAATGTTTATTTCTTAAAAATAATTCAAAAATAAAAGTGGGCTTTTTTTAAGCAATAATTTATTTACATAGAAATAGGTCTTGAGTAATAATGCTGATAATTGTCAAACGTCCTGATTTCATGTGATGGGATCCACCAGTTTGCTGATTCACCATTGGCTCTTTTTAGAAATGTTTCATTTGTTGTAGGTTCATTCAACCTTTTCTTGCTTCATTGACCTTCCGTCTGCTCTGATGTAAAGCATTACTGACAGTAACCTATTACACCTGCTGTTGTTGAAACTACTACTTGAAATATATTTTTTTCATGAAACTTTTAAGGGCAATTCAATTTCTCAAAGTGTAAAAGTATCACTACCTATTCTCACATTTTGTTATGTTGCAGCTCTAAACTTCAGCACTTTCCATTGGGATTTTTGTGACTGTCCGTCATAAAAAAAAATTACATGATTCTAAAAGAAGATTTGTACAAGATTATATTTGGCTTTGAAGATAATTAAAAATTGTGGTGTGTCTTTAGTCATCTTAAAATAGTAATTTCCCAGAACCTCAGTCTGCAATAGTTGCAGCTGAGAATCTTTGGAGCTTTTCTTCTGCTCATCAAGGCACAAACATCATTGCTTATTCATCTCTTGCAAAAATAGTTTAAGATCACATTAAATAAAGACCATCTATGAGCACCAGTTTTTATGGTCTTACCGCAGATCAGGGGTTTGAAGCTGGAAGTAATTTACAATAAAACTTAAATCATAGGTCTTCAAACTCTTATTCAGTTTTTAGGTTTTTCACTTAATAATTGCATTGAATAACAGAATGACACTAAAAGTACCAGAAATTATTATTTTTTTTTAGATCTATTTTTTGGCAATAAATTGCAAAATGTAATCTTTTTGCAAAAATAATTAAAATAAATAAATAAATAAATAACACCCCTTGCAAACATTTATTTTCTGATATAATCTGAAATTAAAATTGGTTCTTGATCATAAATAACACATTTTGTATTGTATATATTTGTCAAATAAGTAATCTTTCCTTTAATAGTCATGAAATATTTGGGGTTAAAATCTTTGTTGAATTTAGATGTATTAAACACAAAAATAGCTCTTTATACTGTAAAGGCTCCTGATCCCTGCAACAGACCCTTCATTTCTGACTGGTTCATTCTTTCGCATGACAACCGCTTAACCATTGTATTGCATCTCTAGCTGTACGCTTAGCGTTGTTGTCATGCTGGAAGCTGAACCCAGTCCCCAGTCCCAAGTCTCTTACAGTATTAATAATGTTTTCATTGAGAATTACCCTGCATTTTACTGCATCTATCTTCTTCGTTTCCCTGCCCCAGTTTAAGAAAAACATGCTGCTTCTGCTATTTTTCAGCTTGCAGATTTTGTGTGGAGCTTGACATGGACGGTTCTAGACAGGGGCCGACAGGGCCCACTGCCTCTGCAGAACTAGTCCTGCCCCCTGTTTTATGCAAGGTGTTGCACTTTTAGCTTCATCTGTATTGAAATAAGACTAACAGTTTTCATCTGTTCGGTAAGGAGTCTGCAACCTGCAACCCCAGAGCTGCATGTAGCTCTTTGGAATTGTGGCTCACTTAATTCATTTTTTGGCCTCACTCTGTTAAAGCTGGTCTAGAACCAGCACTGATTGACATGCAGTGTCAGCTTTGCCAAATAAGTTGTTTTGGTGGAAGAAAACATGGCTTCGATGACAGCTGACTTTGAGCTTTCACTGTTGACCTGTTTGTGTGCAAACAGAGCATGTTGGTTATGTGCTTTATGCAATTTAAATATAGTTCTATGAACAGGAAGACTCGGGCCCAAAAACAGTTGCCACATATTAGTGGCACACACACCTCCAGTAAAAATTTATATTTATACAAAGTGAAACCAAAAATGTGAATCAAAAATTGCATCTCTTTTTGTTCTTCCCAAGTTTTCAAACAAAAGATTAAGAAGGTAACTACTCCATAAATTGTTGATGCTGCCAGAATCTACAGACTGTGGTGCTGTTGTCAGTGGATCGCTCACATTACTGCAGGTAGATGCTAAATGACAAACAAACCCTGAAAAAAAATATCACGCATTTCTACACTGTCCAGTCATCAATATTTCAATAAGGTGCCAATATCCTGTACACAGAACAGAGGGATGCATAATCAGATGACTGGAGCAAAAAGTAGCAACTCACATTTAAACTATAAAAAGCGAGGTAAAAGATTATAACTGTTGGAAAGTCAGCACCTCACCGATTGCATATGGATGAGGAACCTTTGAGGTGATAATGTAAAATGCGCTGGTGTCAGCACAAATATGATGTTGCACATTTTACAAACCGAATTAGGAATTAGAGATAATAACTTCTTCATGGAAGCACTAAAAAGCTTTAAGTAAGTTGATGTAATAAAGGTCAAAATGGGAGTAAAAGCAGTACCATGCTTTCAGCAGAATATCAAATCTGGTGACAGCTCAAAGGCCACATAATTTTACAGCTGTAATATGAGTTTGTTGAATTCAACAACATATGCCAAGTGGGTGGTGTTTATTTACCGGCTTATAAACTCAACTGGCTATTAGCATTTGTAGTAGCTGAGAACAGCCTCTCTGAGCACAGACACTGTCATATTATGTAACTCCTGTACCAATTATGAGACCCACAAAGCCATTAGCTCAGTTTTACAAAATAACAACACTCCTCTACTGTTCCAAAAATGTTGCGTTTCCTGTTTAGTTATGGCCTTTTTCAAATAACAAAGTCACCAGATTGACCAACATTAAAGGAAAAAAAAAATGTTGTTGTATTGACAGCAGTGATGTCAGTGCTGTAGTTTATTGCTCGGCCTGTGTTCTTTTTGTTAAGCGTTCATCCTGACATTTATACTGCAGGAGGTAAAAGTGTGGTTGGAAATTTGAAGTTCTTTCAGGCTATTAGACCCACAGATGACAAAAGGAGGGTGGGTTGCTCTTTTGTTGAGATTGATTGTTTCATGAAGCTGCTGTTTTGGTTTATTTCTGTGGCTTTAATCAGACAGGGCTCTGATGTCATGTTCACAAACGTTTTCAAAGAGGATGAGAAACTGTAGCCAAAAAATAAGGCTGTCTATCCCAGAGACTAGAAGAAAACTACAAACTAGCACTGTAAAACATCCACAATTTCTTGCAAAAGTATTCAAACACCACAATAAAGTATTTTTTGCATTTTAGCAACTTACAGCAAAAACATAAATATATTTTACTGTTTATTTTTTATAGAGCATCCTAATTGTGAGGTGAAAGGACATGGTTTTGATATTTTAAATAAAACAAACTAGCAAAATCTGTAAAGTGTGACATGCATTAATTCCCTTTTAGTAGATTTCAGACTCTACTGTCTGATCCTAAGAAGATTCTGTCTCTAAATGCCTGTTAGGGTTTTTCTGTGTGAAGTTTTATGATTTCCTGATCCATGCGTTGCTTTTTTCTGGGTATGTGTAGATAAAAATTAGTAGTGATGCCTATATGCTGTAGGGACTCCTTTCAGCAAGAATATAGAAGCTGGTTGGAGTTGATTGGAAGTTTGGATTGAGTTTAAATAGAGCAACCTTTCTTCAGGCTACAAAAGGCTTGAAAGTGGAATGGAGGGTCACTTTCCAGCTGGACAGCAGGTCTGAAGATACAGCCAGAGCTACAGTAAAATGGCTGAGTTTGAAGAAAATTCATGATTTAGAATGGCACTGTCAGACGTAAAACTTGCTTGAAAATTGATGTTCAAATGCTCTCCATGCAATGTGACTGAGCTTTACTTCTTTTGTAAAGGAAACTAGGAAAATACTTTTTCCCTGTAGATGTTTGAAGCCGATACATGTGTCACAAAAACAGAAAAGGGCGATTTTCCAAAGAACTGAGTCTGGTGGACTGAATACAAACACATTTTTAAATATTTTTAACAACAATAACAAAATCAACCATAAAAATGTTTAATTCACATTTACCATGTTTGAAAATGTTTTCTTGAACCTCACAATAGTATTAGTTTCTGTTGCTTAATAAAACTAAAATCAAAATGGAAAACATTGAGGCTTATAGTTGTAGTATGATAAAAAAAGTAAAGAAAAACAATTCAAGAGATATAAATACTTTAGCAAGGGACTGTATTTGCCTGACACTCAGTACTGCTCATGTTCTCCACCTTACTAGTTTCTCATCTGTATTGCATGAGCACATTGTTACCTTTCAATTCAGAGTTATTCAGTATTGCAGCTTTGAGGTTTCTTTTGAGCTTAACAAATGTTATGGTTCCTTGCTTGCCTTGAGCAAATAGTTGTAATCTCACATAATTTCCTCTGCCGCATCTTTTAATGAGCCTATGCAATTGCATATTGTCCGATTAACTCAAATTATGCTCCAGCTGTTTCATTTGTTTTTAAGTCAGGATATAGTTTCCTCTGGTGATTCTCTGCTAAATTTCTCAAGTGTGGTATTAAATTCTAAGTTGGTTATTATAGACATTTATGTTCTGTTATGTTTTTTGTGATGGCTTCACCACAAGCAACAACATATCTAATTAAAGTTTATGAAAAAGACAAGAGCCTAATGATGGAAGTATTATTTATTATGCTAATTATGCAATTGCTGTTTATTTTAAATAGATGAGTCTGTTGGTTGCTCTGTGTGCATGTCAGAGCTGTAGGTAAAATTAATTAATTAGTTTTTCTCTGTCGCTTTGGTACATTTCTTGAATCATCCATAACATTTGTAAAGCAGTAAGTGCATTTCTCAAAACAGTTTGTTCAAAATGGCAAAACTCCACAGGTTACCTTCAAAATCCTTAGCTCATCTCTCAAAGTAAATATATGTAATTGAATGTGCCAGTCTCATTGGAATGACAAGTCCTTGTGTCATTGTGTACAGTTAAGACAGTCCTGCTGCTAAGCCATGTATTGTCAATAAAACATTTCACAGTGG